TTCAAAGATATTTTTAGTTTTTAATACCGACCAGGTCCAACTGATCCCAGAGAGACAGGAGACATTAAAGAGACAGACAGACAGAGGCTGGTGTCTCATCAGGGTCAAGTCCAACATTAATGTGTCTCAGATTTTTATTAATAAATATTAAATATCTGTTAAACAGTCCTGATGTAGGTCGAACACATCAGATGTGTAGAATAAAATAAACCTGAAGAGAAGAAGAAGAAGGAGAGTTCAGTGTTAACAGGAGCAGAGAAGAAGAAGCAGCAGGTCTCTGGCTCCTCCGTGTGGTTGCTGACTGAACTGCAGCTTCACTCAGAAATGCTGCGTCAGCTCTGAGTTCTGCTGATCCTCTGAAAATCTAAAGACTGTATTTAAACACTGAGTTTGTGTCAGCAGCTCCGAACTGAGCTCTTATTATTCATAAATACTTCAGACTCCTCTCATTATTAATATATAAATGATCTCTGCAGGTCTGAGGAGCCCTCAGTGATCAGAAGTAAAGACTCTGTCCTCCTGCACGTGTCAACTGTTTGACTGTAAATACTCTGATTACTTTTGTCTTTAACTCCCACAGGAACATGTGATCCACATGTCAGAGTCCTGTTCATAAATCAATCCACAGTTTGTTTCTATCATGAAGTCTGAGAAGAGAATAAAATATATTTCAGGGAAAAAGTGACATATTTATATACAAGTATCTTTAAAAAAAAAATAGGAGATAACATGAAACTTTATTGGTCTCATTTAATTATTACAAATGTTTTATAGAAATTAAACAGTAAGGTTCATAAAAACATAACTTTAAACATTTAAATGAGCTACCTGAGCAACAAGACAAGAAACAGTCGAGTAGTTCAACTTTAACACAGGTATGAGTGATTATTATCATTATTATTAATAATAATTATTATTATTAATAATGATAATGTGTTGGAGATAAAGTTCATGAATGAATTGATGAGTAAATAGTAAGTTTATACTTCCTCCTTTTTGAACATCCAAGATTTCTTTTTTGTTGTTCATTTAAATTGATTTTGAGGTTGTTGCATCGGTTATCATCCACTTTTGTTTTGTTTGTTTTCATTCATTCATTCATCTTCTAACCGCTTCAACCTCTTGAGGGTCGCGGGGGGGGTGGAGCCTATCCCAGCTGACACTGGGCGAGAGGCAGGGTTCACCCTGGACAGGTCACCAGACTATCACAGGGCTGACACATAGAGACAGACAACCATTCACACTCACATTCACACCTACGGACAATTTAGAGTCGCCAATTAATCTGCATGTCTTTGGACTGTGGGAGGAAGCTGGAGCACCTGGAGGAAACCCACGCTGACACAGGGAGAACATGTCAGAGCACCTGGAGAAAACCCACGCTGACACATGGAGAACATGTCAGAGCACCTGGAGGAAACCCACACTGACACATGGAGAACATGTCAGAGCACCTGGAGAAAACCCACGCTGACACATGGAGAACATGTCAGAGCACCTGGAGGAAACCCACACTGACACAGGGAGAACATGTCAGAGCACCTGGAGAAAACCCACGCTGACACATGGAGAACATGTCAGAGCACCTGGAGGAAACCCACACTGACACAGGGAGAACATGCTAACTCCGCACAGAAGGGCTCCCACACCCGGGATCGAACCGGCAACCCTCTTGCTGTGAGGCGACAGTGCTAACCACCACACCACCGTGCCGCCCGTTTTGTTTGTTTTGTATATTCAAAATAAATATCACTCAATAATAAAGATGGAGAGGGGGTTATGTAACTCCTCAGTAATGAAGACCGGTCTCGTCATCCTCATGTACAAAACATGAAACTCTCTTCATGCTGCAACTATTGATTATTCTAATAATCAGTCTTTAAATATCAGACGTATAAAACTCAAACAGATTCAGTTTCCAGTGATAGAAAACAACACCTGAGCCTCAGAGGAACCTTCTGAACGTTCTGATTGTTAATCACTTTGTTAATCAGTTACAATCATCTGTTGATCGATCGATCAATAATGAGCTGCTGGTTTCAGGAGGTTCGATCAACCTGAGTAAAGACGGCATGAGACGTTAGAAAAACTGGAGTTCGTACAACGAGGCTGAGAGAGAATTAGATCATTTGATTTGGACTCAAAATAGAAATTTATTCTGGAATATTGATTAAATATCGATGAAATATTCTGGAGGACAAGTTGGTCGACATGTTGGACTTCTTGTACTTCTGGACTTTTATATTTCTTGGAAAGTTTTTTACCTTTTCATCAAACCTTTATCCGAAGATATTTTGTACTTTGGAACAGACGTGTGTTATTGTTTGGTGGATGTGTTTCTGCTGGTGGCGAGTGCAATGTCCTGAAGTGTCTGGTGACGAGTGCAACGTCCTGAAGTGTGTCTGGTGGCGAGTGTGACGTCTTGAAGTGTGTCTGGTGACGAGTGTGACATCCTGAAGTGTTTCTGGTGGCGTATGTGACATCCTGAAGTGTGTCTGGTGACGAGTGTGACGTCCTGAAGTGTGTCTGGTGACGAGTGTGACGTCTTGAAGTGTGTCTGGTGGCGAGTGCAACGTCCTGAACTGAAGTGTGTCTGGTGGCGAGTGCAACATCCTGAAGTGTGTCTGGTGACGAGTGCAACGTCCTGAAGTGTGTCTGGTGACGAGTGCGACGTCCTGAAGTGTGTCTGGTGACGAGTGTGACGTCTTGAAGTGTGTCTGGTGGTGAGTGCAACGTCCTGAAGTGTGTCTGGTGGTGAGTGCAANTGACGAGTGTGATGTCCTGAAGTGTTTCTGTTGATGAGTGTGATGTCCTGAAGTGTGTCTGCTGACGAGTGCGACGTCTTGAAGTGTGTCTGGTGACGAGTGTGACGTCCTGAAGTGTGTCTGGTGACGAGTGTGACGTCCTGAAGTGTGTCTGCTGACGAGTGTGACATCCTGAAGTGTGTCTGGTGACGAGTTTGGTTGTCTCGTTACTTAATCGTCTCATTTGAAGACATTGCAATTAACACTGAGGACCATTAAAAACAAACCCGTCCTCATATGAGGACATCAGTTATTTCAGAGTGTGACGTCCTGAAGTGTGTCTGGTGACGAGTGTGACGTCCTGAAGTGTTTCTGGTGACGAGTGTGATGTCCTGAAGTGTTTCTGTTGATGAGTGTGATGTCCTGAAGTGTGTCTGCTGACGAGTGCGACGTCTTGAAGTGTGTCTGGTGACGAGTGTGACGTCCTGAAGTGTGTCTGGTGACGAGTGTGACGTCCTGAAGTGTGTCTGCTGACGAGTGTGACATCCTGAAGTGTGTCTGGTGACGAGTTTGGTTGTCTCGTTACTTAATCGTCTCATTTGAAGACATTGCAATTAACACTGAGGACCATTAAAAACAAACCCGTCCTCATATGAGGACATCAGTTATTTCAGAGTGTGACGTCCTGAAGTGTGTCTGGTGACGAGTGTGACGTCCTGAAGTGTTTCTGGTGACGAGTGTGATGTCCTGAAGTGTTTCTGTTGATGAGTGTGATGTCCTGAAGTGTGTCTGCTGACGAGTGCGACGTCTTGAAGTGTGTCTGGTGACGAGTGTGACGTCCTGAAGTGTGTCTGGTGACGAGTGTGACGTCCTGAAGTGTGTCTGCTGACGAGTGTGACATCCTGAAGTGTGTCTGGTGACGAGTTTGGTTGTCTCGTTACTTAATCGTCTCATTTGAAGACATTGCAATTAACACTGAGGACCATTAAAAACAAACCCGTCCTCATATGAGGACATCAGTTATTTCAGAGTGTGACGTCCTGAAGTGTGTCTGGTGACGAGTGTGACGTCCTGAAGTGTTTCTGGTGACGAGTGTGATGTCCTGAAGTGTTTCTGTTGATGAGTGTGATGTCCTGAAGTGTGTCTGCTGACGAGTGCGACGTCTTGAAGTGTGTCTGGTGACGAGTGTGACGTCCTGAAGTGTGTCTGGTGACGAGTGTGACGTCCTGAAGTGTGTCTGCTGACGAGTGTGACATCCTGAAGTGTGTCTGGTGACGAGTTTGGTTGTCTCGTTACTTAATCGTCTCATTTGAAGACATTGCAATTAACACTGAGGACCATTAAAAACAAACCCGTCCTCATATGAGGACATCAGTTATTTCAGAGTGTGACGTCCTGAAGTGTGTCTGGTGACGAGTGTGACGTCCTGAAGTGTTTCTGGTGACGAGTGTGATGTCCTGAAGTGTTTCTGTTGATGAGTGTGATGTCCTGAAGTGTGTCTGCTGACGAGTGCGACGTCTTGAAGTGTGTCTGGTGACGAGTGTGACGTCCTGAAGTGTGTCTGGTGACGAGTGTGACGTCCTGAAGTGTGTCTGCTGACGAGTGTGACATCCTGAAGTGTGTCTGGTGACGAGTTTGGTTGTCTCGTTACTTAATCGTCTCATTTGAAGACATTGCAATTAACACTGAGGACCATTAAAAACAAACCCGTCCTCATATGAGGACATCAGTTATTTCAGAGTGTGACGTCCTGAAGTGTGTCTGGTGACGAGTGTGACGTCCTGAAGTGTTTCTGGTGACGAGTGTGATGTCCTGAAGTGTTTCTGTTGATGAGTGTGATGTCCTGAAGTGTGTCTGCTGACGAGTGCGACGTCTTGAAGTGTGTCTGGTGACGAGTGTGACGTCCTGAAGTGTGTCTGGTGACGAGTGTGACGTCCTGAAGTGTGTCTGCTGACGAGTGTGACATCCTGAAGTGTGTCTGGTGACGAGTTTGGTTGTCTCGTTACTTAATCGTCTCATTTGAAGACATTGCAATTAACACTGAGGACCATTAAAAACAAACCCGTCCTCATATGAGGACATCAGTTATTTCAGTGTGTGACGTCCTGAAGTGTGTCTGGTGACGAGTGTGACGTCCTGAAGTGTTTCTGGTGACGAGTGTGATGTCCTGAAGTTTGATCGTTTGATTTGGCTCTATGATCGTCTCACAGTTAAACCCTGAGGTCACCTCCTCCTGTCTCTCTCTGTCTCTGTCAGATATGGCGACATGGTCCCAAAGACCATCATGGGGAAGATCTTTGGTTCCATCTGCTCTCTGAGTGGCGTGTTAGTCATCGCCCTGCCCGTCCCCGTCATTGTCTCCAACTTCAGCCGAATCTACCACCAGAGCCAGAGAGCCGAGAAGAGGCGAGCGCAGAAGGTGACGACTACGAACACACACACACACACACACACACACACTGCCTCCAACGTTCACAGCAACACACACAGAGTTAGGGTCACGTAGTTTACTGACACACAGAGTCAAACAGGACGTATGGAGACACTCAGAGGACATGTCATGTGTCCACAGTTTCCCAAGTGAGCCGACGAGCCGAGGTAAAAGACTGAACAAACACTTTCACTGTGTTTGGATGAAGCAGTTGTTTACAGCAGCTCAGCTCGTCTTCATCATTTCTACGGAGACAAAAGAAAGTCGGACTCACATCTCCTCCGATCACAGCTGCTTAATTTAGCTTCTGTCCAATCCACAGGAGGACAGAGAGGAAGGCAGAGAGGAAACTGAGTCAGGCCGTCACTTCCTCTCAACATCAACACATTAGCTCTCTGCTCGTTCTGGAGACCTTTTGTTTATCCTCCAGGGACACCAACACAAACACCATGTCAGAAAGTTCCACAGACCAGAGAGCAGCTCAGTCGTTTCTCACTCAGTGTGTCCGTCTCTCTCTGCTGCTCTCTGAATAATAAAACCTGTCCTCTGTGTCCACCACAAACAAACATCATCCTCACTTTAACACACAGCTCAGATTTTACTGCAGCAAAACTTTTTCTCACACTAATGACAAAAAAACATTTACAGGCTCCCTGACGTCTGGATTCATCATGACCAGAAAACTGACATTTCTACAGGCGTGTAAAGGACACAATAACAAAACAAAACCTTTGTCCTGATTATTAAATATCATAATTAAAAGAATATCTTCAATATGCAGATTCTGGCAGGATCTTCTTCACACAAGTGAGGACGTTATCGTTTCTGCACAAGTTAGATTTATCTGCACACCTCAGTGTCTTCATTTTGTAATCTCATTTCCACAAATAAATATTGTGTCCACATAACTGGGGGCTGTTAGCTTGTTTACATATGTTAGTATCTGGTTCACACATGTGAGGGCCTTCGCACACTGAGTCAGTTTTGTTGGGGTGCATTTTTTTAATCCATCATCTGAAAGAATCTTTCCACACAGACTGATTCTGATGTGTTTTCTGTTCGTTTTAAAAATTATATCAATACACGACAAAGTGATATTGCACATTTCCTCCTCTGCCTCTCTCCTCTGGAGTTACCTGTCTGACTGACATCACTTTTTCCTTCAGTTGCATGAAGGGGCGGAGCTGTCCTCCCTCTCTGTCTCCTCATGCTCCTCCTCTTCATCATCATCCACCTGAATATTACTCTCTGACCTGTTAGTGAGCTGAAATGACTCGCTGTCTCGTCTCAGCTGCGTCCTGCTGCCACACTTTCTTCACTGAGTCTCAGTCAAACGTCTCTAACGACTGACAGGGGTGAAAAACACAGAAAATCAAATCTGCTCTGAACATTTTAATGACGGGTTAAAGTTTTGGACTCAATGTGCGAACATGACACAGTGTGAGGTCATATTTATTTTAAGACTCAGTGTGTGACGGCCTTTAGTGTCTCGGTCGCACTCGTTGTTTCCTTCAGCACAGGTTGTTTTCTTCTTTGCACACATTGTCTTGATCAAGCCAGATATCTTTTGTACAAATGATTTTGTTTGTCTGAGTTCAGATTTCAGATCAATAAATAAACAAATAAATAAACAGAACTCTGGAATCTGGAACAAATGCAAACATGACGATAAGTTTCACAAAGTCGTCAGCCGGTCATAGTCTCAGGTCGACCACCTTCAGTATGTGAACAACTTAAAATTAATCTTCCAAGATCTGAAAATAAATCATAAATAATAATAATTATTCCATAATCTGTTTCCTGTTTGAATCTGAGCCAGATGCATGTTGAGATTTAAATCTCTCTGTGAGCTTCTCTGTGTCATTGTTTCCTGTTTGCTTCTTAATTACTTTACACACACACACACACACAGCTGGACGGGCTACATGGACGTGTGTAACATCTGTATGTGTTCACAAACAGAAAACCAGGCTTGCTAGAATTCGTGCGGTGAAGAACGGAGTGGCTAACGCTTATTTGCAGTACAAACAGAGCCGGCTGCTGATTGGCCCAGACCAGGAGGTAACCACGGAAATGCAGTCGTTGTCGGGTGGTGCTGTTGGTTTTTGTTTTTTCTTTCATGTTTCTTTTCTCGGTGTGGAGCTGTGAGCGAACACGCTGCAGGCTGCTGCATGCTGGATGCCCCATGTGACGCGGACATCGACTGGCTGCTCATCATTTTAACTCAGGATGTTTCTCTGTCATCGTTTGTCCATCAGCTGTCTGTTTCTCTGTCAGTGTGTCTGTGTCACTGTCTCTCTCTATCTGTCTGTCTCTCTGTCCGTCCATCTCTCTGCTTCAGCAGTAACATTTTCACACCTCAGGTGATACCAAATATTTTTACTCTAACCAGCCAAAACTTTTTAATGCACAACAAAAACAAGTTTCTCTTGTTGTCACAAATGTCTGACAGCAGTTTGTTCAGGCTCTAAATACTGCAGTTCCCATCACTGAGGCAAAGACGTCAGGCAGACCTGTGAGTCCAAACTGATGGAGCACTGAGGGTCCGACTGACTCCAGCTGCCGTCACATGATGAGTAGCAAATGAATGAAGACTTGTAGTTTTGCTGGAGCTTTGATCACCTGATGTAACTGAGGGCGGAGCTGCTCTGTTCTGGCCTAGGCTGTTGTTTCAGAGCAGCAGTACCCGGGTCATTGATTTACCTTCGGCTCACGCAGCCAGACTCTTCCTGATCAGTGCCTTTCTTTGGAGTCTAACTGAGATGCATAAATCACCCTCAGCCTCCCGTCCCAGAGTCTGTCCTCTGGAGACAAACAGCAGCAGTTTGTTTTCTTTGTTTTACTGTCTGTGATCTCTGTCAGGAACAAACCGGGAAATAGATCATGTGTGCATGTAAAAATAATAGTTTTTTGCCCTTATTCACAAAACCAGAATATTCCTGCTGAGCTGTTTACATGGCCAATGACAATGAGCCATGACTGCTCTGATTAACGTGCTCTAACAGCTGATGTTTACCTCACCTGTATCAAGTAATACTGGAATATCAGTGTGCACGTAAACGATGAAACAGACCCTCAAAACCTTGCAGTGGCTAAAAAGTGTGTCAGTCTCAGAGCATGTGAGCGTGGAGCGAGAGCAGAACAGTTTAGATCAAGCGAGTGGATTGTTTTTGTGCTGCAGACCCTGGAGTGTCCAGTTCTTTCATTTGACCAGACCAGAAGTCTCAGGGCTCATTTATGCTAAACGTCAGATACAAAGACGGAGACAGACGGAGCCTTCTGTCTGTACTCTGCGTTCATTTTCTCCACATTTGTGCACGTTTTCTGAGAGCTTACGGATATGGAAGAAATGAAGCAGAACCACCAGAGACTGTGAAGGCAGTGTGATTTACGCGAGAAACAACTGTAGGAGATGATACGAAAAGTTTTTAAATGGCAGAACAGAACGAATCAGTAATATAAAATAATTCTCTGGAAATAATTCTCCATCCACGTGTTTAAATAAGTCTCAGATCACCACAACCTGCAACTCTTCCTCTATTGGAGGGTACAATATTATGACCTCCTCCACAGTCGTCTTATTTATTATTGTGTGAAACCTTTGACTCCGCCCTCTGGTGCCATCTATTGGCTGTATCTATGCCAACATAAAGGACACATGGAAGTATGAGGACTGTGACATTGGTGTTTGAAACAGACAGATCTGTGTTCGTACATGAAAGAGGTGTAAATGAGTGTAACCGAAGACGCCTGGAAACGGTCTGTAAGACTGTTTGTTGTCACTTAGTTTGGAAGACTTGCTGCTGGAGCAGGTTGGTGACATACAGTTGATTCTCTTTGCTCCTGCGTCCCACCTTTGATCAGTGATCAGATGACCTCATGCGAGCCGACTGTGTTTGTTCTTATTGTTTCAGCCTGATGGAGTCGGTGAGCTCGGACATTCACGGTGCTGATTTAAAACCAAAATGTTACTGTTGAACTGTCAGTGGCTGCATCACTGATTCACTCTGATTCTTATAGTCTTCCATTCTTTCTCTTTACCATCTCTTTATTCTCTGCACATCTCTGTCTCAGCTTCGCTTTCACATGGAGAGCAGAACCATTTTATCCACCCCGCCATGCGCTGCTGCGTCACACTAACTCACCTGTGCATGACCTGGTCCTCAGGTGTGGGGCGCCTCACCGACAGGAAACCAACAGCATCGTCTTCTGTGTTTTGTTTGAACTCGTGCATTTTGATTGGCCCTCCCATGTGACTCGGCTGCCGACCGATTGGCCTGCGCTGCTCATGACATCATTACTAAGCGTCTTGGGGTCCATCGCCATGTGGAGGAATGCGATCCAGCTGAGCTGCATGTCAATAAGACACTCAGGCCACAGTGCACAGGGGCGGAGTCAATGTGACGCAGAGGTCATGGTGGATGACAGCGGCACTCGACAAACCTTTCAAGGAACAGTCTGACACTTAAAATATCTTGTTTGATGTTAGATGAAAAGATTGAAAAGAAAGATTACAGATAGGTGCAGTGATTATAAATGGAATAGAGGCCTGAAACATGTTAAGACTAAACCAATTGCTAAGCTAGGCTAGCAGTCAGAGCTCACTCCTGGTGACCCAGGTTTGCAAACCAGTTAGGCAACAAGTAGAGTCCCAAAAACTGAGAGTTCCCAGGAAGGATCCACTACTAATTTTACAGTCCTTAGAATGGTCATCCAGAGTAAGGCTCGTAACTTCCTTTAGGTTACCTGACAGTGATTTTTATAACTTCCTTTTCAAGTCCCTGGGAGGTTGCTTAGGCTTAAAGTTCACAACTTCCTTTACGGTCCACAAGAAGGTCCCAAGGAGTGAGGTGTCTCATTTTTTGGAGACATCTTGAGCAAAGACTTTGCCTCTTACTAGGGTACCTTGGATTTAGGAACATCACTTCCTTTAGAGTCCCTGGGGGGAAGGTGCCCCACCTGCTTAAGGGTCCTTATGAACTTTCTCCATAAGGGTTCTCAGCAGTCATGTTCATGAATTCATTGAAAATCCCCAGAAGTAGTACACTGCTTTTAGGGTCCTCAGGAGTACGACTTGTGACTTTCTTTGGAGTGTCCATGAAGTGAGGTTCATAAATTCATTTAGCTTCCCCAGGAGTGAGGTTTGCAAAGTCATATGAGTCAGATGCATCCCCTCACTTAGGACCCTAGAAAGTGAGGTGCCTTACACCAGGGTAAGCTCAATGACTCCTTTAGGAAGTGAGAGTGAGTGGTACTTGTGGCGTCTTGACTTCCTTTAGGGTGCCAGGAGTGAGGTACATGACTTCCTGTAGGTACCCTGGGGTGAGGTTTATAACTTCCTTTAAAGTCCTTCGGAGGGTGTTTAGGCTTAAAGTTGACAACTTCTTATAGAGCCCCACGAAGGACCCATGGGTGAGATGCGTCTCATTTAGAGACCCCAAAAATGAAGAGCTTGCCTTCCACAAGGGAACGTAGCATTCAGGAAGATCACTTCCTTTAGGGTCTCTAGGAGGAAAGTGTCCCACTAACTTAAGGGTCCTCTGAAGTAAGGCTTTTGACTTTCCTTGGATTCTCCATGAATTGAGGTTTATAAATTCCTTTAGCTTCATTAAGAGTAAGGTTCGTAAATTCATATAACTCAGATACTTGGGACCCTCAAGAGAGAGGTGCCTTTCACCAGGCTAAGGTTGTGCCAGGAAAATTACTTTCTTTAGGCCCCCTGGGAGGAAGGTGCCCCATTTGATTAAAGGTCTCTATGAAGTGTTCCTTTAGCTTCCTCAGGAGTGAGGTTCCTAAAGTCAGATGCATCACTTCATGAAGGACCCTAAAAAGTGAGGTGCCTTCCACCAGTAAAAGCTTCAGGACTCCTTTAGGAAGTGAGAGTGAGTAGTACTTGTGATTACTTGACTTCCTTTAGGGTACCAGGAGTGAGGTATATGACTTTCATAGCATCCCCAGGAGTAATATCAGGGTCATGAGATAAAGTCATGAACTTAGAGTTCCAATAATGTTGTCATGTTCATGACTTCCTTGGATATCCCCAAAGTAGCATCCGTGACTTCTTCAAGGGTCCCCAGGAGTGACTCTCATGACTTCTCTGGCTCTAATGGCAGTTAGTCCAGGGCCTCTCCAGAAGACAGGTAAAAACTGGACTTCCTAAAATGTGGGACTGTTCTTTTGGCAGTACCTGAGCTTCTTGCTCCATGATCACAGAGTCTTCAGTCCGTCAGTCCATCCATCTGCGTCACATTCAGTCCAAACCCCTGAGCAACATGAGTACAGTGGCTCTCTTGGATCAAATGAGGCTTCAGTCAAAACAAGCAGACACAGGCACACGTAGAGAGGTAGTGATAGAGCTGCTGAACGGCTGCTGTCTGTTTGAACCAGTGAGTGATCCATCACTTTCTAACTAACCCTGAACCAGGAAGGGATTGTGGGTAAAATCCTGGACAGATGAAGCACTCTTACAGCAGTGTCAGAAGAAGGTGGTGAGAACATTAGCCCTGTCCATGTGTGTGTCGTGGCGGTACTGCCCATCTTTGTGCTGTGGTTCTGGGTGGGGTGGACGCATGTCCAATGGCAGGCTAATTGTGTGGTCATGTGATTTGTGTTTGTGTCCTGAAGGCGTCCAAGGAAGCAGGACAGGCGCTAGTGTGTAAGGCCAACCCCACCTTCGACCTGCACCACAACCACCTTCTGCACTGTCTGGAGAAGACCACGGTGAGAACAGAAAACACACACACACACACACACACACACATCACGTTAACATGATGTGTGTGTGTGTCAACGAAAAAGGCATCCTTTAACGTCAGCATGATACACGGACTGACAACAACCACTGACTTTCACCTGAGAGAGTGGTGTTTGCGTCCTGTAAGATTGTAAAGCCAAACCATGTTTTTTTTTTCTAAACCCAACCATGTTTTTGTTGTTTAAGGAAAAAAAAACATCAGTTGGTGGTGTTGTACCGATGTAGTGCTTTTATTTTGAAAGAGACTGTATGTAAATGTTAATTTTCCTATGAAACAAAAGTGTATCTTGAAAAAAGAGAACTTGACACGGCGTCCCAGAACGTCAACAACCAACACACCCAGGGTACCTTGGACGTCATATGTGGACGTGGAAAGTCCATGACCAAACGTGGACATGTGACGAGGTCACAGTGAGGATGGGTTGTGGTGCAAAACCATGCGAAAACAGGAGGTGGCGCCAGAGAAGCGAATGATGAATTCATCACAACACCTTTTTACTCTGCTCATAAAACTGAGCATATCTTAAAATCTAAAAAATGTACATGTTTCAAAGTGTTATGTGTTTAGAAATGTTTTATGTTTCTAATCTTTAGGATCAACATGTTTTATTTGTTCATTTTGTAAAATTTGATGACAAAGGTCCAATATTTGTATTTTTTATGAAACAATTTCAATACTTTATCAATTATGTGGTTTATTGACTTAAATAATCTTTTAGCTCATGTTGCACAATGTAGAGTTGATAAGGTTAATACGTTAAGGTGTTAAATGCTCCACCTTTAACCTTTGACCTCCTGACCTGCTCTAACATCCTGACGCTGTGTCTGCCTCAGAACCACGAGTTTGTGGATGAGAAGACATATGAGACGGGCTGCAGGGAGGTAACTCTAGTGAAGCAGGTGTCTCGCTCTTCTTCCATCTCCTCTTCTTCACAACACGGCTTCAGTTCCTGTTGCGCTCGCCGGAAGAGGAAGACCTTCAATGTCCCCAACTCCAACATGTCTGTGGGTCTTCATGGCAGCGTCCAGGAGCTGAGCACCATCCAGATCAGAGAGAGGCCGCTCACCAACAGGTAGGAAACACAAACACCGGTTTTTATACCATAAATGTGTCAGTGAGATCAGACGTTAGGAAATAAAGAAGTTATATTGATCCATAGGTAGATTCTGTTGGTGCTTGAAGAGATTCTATGGGTCTTTGAAAAGGTAACAGAGGTCCTTGAGGAGGTTTTAGAGCTCTTGAGCTGGGTTTACACGTCCTGAATGAGATTTTAGAGGTTCTTGAGAAAGCTCCAAAGGTGTTTGAGAACATCTTGGAGCGTATTGTGAAGGTTGTAGAAGTCTTACAGATGTTCTAAGGGTCCTTGAGGAAATTGCAAAAGCCCTTAAAGTGATGTTTGGAGGTTGTTAAGGCCCTTAAGAGTTTCCAAAAACCCTTAATGAGGTTTTAAGGAGGTACTAGAGGTTGTTGAAGATGTTCTAGCTGGTCGAAGGGGCTCTTAAAGAGGTTCCAAGGGTTTCTGTAGGCAGCTTTAGAGCCTGATGTCCAGGCTTTAAAAGTCTTGAGGAGGTTTTAGGGGTCCTTGAGAGGTATTTAGAGATATCTGAGGAGACTGCATGGTCTTGAGGAGGTTGCAGTGGTTTCTAAGGAGGTATTAATGATCCATTCAGAAGTCGCAGGTTGTATAGGTCCATGAGGATTTTTTAGAGCTCTCTATAAAGGTTGCAGAGGTCTTGAATGGGTTCCATGGGTCATTGGGGGTGTTTTAAAGGTCCTTGAGGATGAATTAGAGGTTGTATGGTAGGTACTGATGATTGTTAAGGAGGTTTCATGGGTTCATGAGGAGGTTTCAGACGTTCTTCAGAATATTCCAAAGGTCCTGGAGGTGTTGTTGGGGGTTGCTAAGAAGGTTGCAGTGGTGCCTAAGTATTTCCCAGGCTCCTGTTAAAGGTTCCAGGTATCCCTGAGGGGGTAACAAAGATCCTTGAAGAGTCTAGAAAAGTTTAATCTCCTCTATGAGCTCTCATTAGAATGATGTTAAACTGTTGAAATAAACTGTGACTGAGGTGAAAACAAATTATTTTAACCCCAGATAACCAATCAGAGAGCAGGGAAATTATAAAGGAAAATATTATGGCTTTAAACTTTCTTCCAGGAGATTAGCTGATAACGCTCAGTAGCTCCGTGTGAATGTTATCTGTCAGACTAAGTTTTAAGGAGGCGGCGCTGTGCTGTAACCTGACATAAATCTATGAAACGAGGTTATAAACAGTCGCAGCGGGGCCACACACTCTCAGACACTGTATATAAACACATGGCACCACAGATCATGTGACAGTGTATTCCCATGTACAGTCACTGAGCAGGAATCCAGAATATGTCCAGCTGTGGGAGGCTGTGGGAGGTCTGGGAACTTTCTCCTAAACATGGACAGCTGGGAAACTGACTTGTCTCTGTTACAGCCTCCTCCTGTTTCAGTATCAGTGACCGTCACTGCTGAAGCTGCTCTGTGTCCTCCTCTTCATCACAGTCCCCACAATGTAACACTGTCTGACAAATATGAGATTGGACATCTGTAAATATGATGAAATATTGTGCATATAGCTGCTAACCGATGAGCTCACACCTGGTGAGTCACTCAGTTTGTTTACATGCACAGAAGATTCTGTTGTTTTGCTCCTGAGCTGTTTACATGTCTGATGAAAGTGAATATTCCTGTTCACATGCAGCCCTGCAGACTCTGACTAACGGACCCTCAAAATATGGAAATGTGGAACATTTGGAGTTGATTGTTATTCTGCTTCTTTGCATGGAAAATGATTATTTTCAAAGTTTCCTAGCAGTGGTGGACTTGTTAGACCTATAATTCCTTCAACCACCGTCTTCAGAAACTCAGCATTGTGAAATTTGTGCATTTCCAAAACACTGTTGAGATCCAATAGGGTTGAGCCAAGTACTCACATGAAATGAGTATCAGTTACAGATATGTACTCTTTACAAGTACAAGTATCATACAAGTCAAATGTGTCATTATCTGAACTCAATTCTGAGGCTAGCTTCAGCCTTACCGACAGAAGTTTTCGGATCTTGTCATATCTCCAGTTAGACCCTTCTTCCCAACCCCAGATAATTGTTTTCCTCCAGTTTTGATAGAAACGCCCACTTTCAATCAGTTCTCTGCACAGTTACCTGCTCCATTCACACCTGGGTTCAGTTGGACATTTCATGGACCTTAGAAGAGGAAGCTGGAAGGATAAATTTAGTTTAATGTCCAGATTACCTGAGTCAGACATTTCCGTTCTCACGCACAGATCCTCCAGGTGATGTCAGCACGTGTGAAAAATAATCTCTCTTCCATGTGTCCATGTTGAGTCCTTCTCTGTCTCCTCTCTTTCTGCAGTCGATCCAGTCTCAACGCCAAATTCGAGGAGACCGTTCCTCTTAACTGTGACCAGTCATACATCACCGCCGCCGTCATCAGCACGCACACGCCACCTGGCACCACACCCGAAGGAAATGAATCATCCAGCTCCACCGACTACTCCCAGGCCAACATTGTCCGGGTGTCCGCACTCTAGATGACAACTTCCCCTCCAATATGGAAACACAACCCACCCAGCAGAGGACGACGGGGGTCAGGCATCAGGGGGTCGGGAGTCGATGGCCCCGCACCACCACAGACTCAGAGGGCAGGGGTTTGGATCATGTGATCACGATGGAAATGGGGTTAGCTTGAATATTTCAAACCTCTCTCGGAGGAAACGTCATTCTGTACGCACTAAAACTCAGCTAACCTGCCTCGGAGTGCATTTCTTTCTTTTGTCTTATAGGACGGATTTTTATTCCAGCAGCCAAATGTTGGAGAGGAGGAAACGGTAGCACTTTGGCTGAAGACTGATCTCTACGTGAAGAAATTTGTTTCCACTGCTATTTTTCCAGTCATGTCTTTAAATTTGATGTCTTAAAACACAAAGAGAGCTGACACTAACGTAGAGTTCTTTTCTTAAGTCCGAACGCAGTTTAAAGGAAATGTCTGATATTTTGGGAACAACACTGTGAACTATCTTACCACAGCTACATGAGGAAATAGCTTAGCTTACCTTAGCTTAGCTTAGCACAGAGACTGAGAGCGGGGGGAAACTGTTAAACTAGCTGCATCAGAAGAGAAAAAAATAACCTTTAAACATATCCGTGTGACTTACACGTTGTATCATGTTAGCTATCAAGCTAGTCACCCATCGATTTAAGAGTCAGCTAGTTGACTGTAACTGTTGACGGTTAGAAGCTAACGCTGAACTAGCTGGAGCTTAAAGCTAACTTGTTTCATGGAGTTTGTCTTAAACTTGTGATAACCTCCATGAAGAAAAAATACAGTTATGTCATGACATTAAGAAACAGATTCCTCAGTGTCGACTGGTTTTGAGTTCAGCTAACAGTCTTCCAAAGAACCTAAAACCACACCGTCTCACTTCCTGTTTCTACCTGTGTGAAATAAACAAGAAACAACATGTTAAGTCAGATCATTTCCAAATTGTATTTTTTTCTCTTAACGTTAATGTTCACTTAGCTAGGCTAGCAGTTTGCCATCTGTCTCATATTAGCCTTGATTCAGGATGAGTCCGACATTGAAGTTAACGTCACCCTGGTTCCCTCGTCGAAAAGCCAATATTGGATTTTGGATTATTGCAGGAAAAAAAAAACATTTCTGATCCTTCCAGGTTTTGTTCAGTGAGATAATCTTCACTAATAAACACCACTTTATGATTATTGAAGAATAAATTCAATCAGCAGAAGTAAGAAGCTAACGTTAGGCTGTAAACAAACTACACCACGCTCACATGACTCAATGTCACAGACACAATAAGACTGTAAAGTCGTGTTCGGAGTTGTGACGTTCTGTAGTCTCATGTAGACACTTTTAAGCAACCATCTTATAGATGCATCAAGATTCACAGTGGGGTATTTACCATTCTCGGAACCCATTGGCTGTATTCGGCATCTGACTTCTGGCAGACGGCGAATACAGCCTCTGGGGGCAGACCCCTGATTTTTTGGCATTCCGGTTTGATTTGGGCGGAGGAGGCGAATTTCCGTTTCCGACTTCTATTTATATATAAATAAATATGCTGAACCATTGTGATGGATTCAGAGTTTGCAGTGACGCCAATTATGTTCCACCTCATTAGTTCACAGACCGTTTAACCTGGCAACACCTGCAGCCGGCTCAAAAGTGATTGGTCAATATCACGCGGAGTACAAACAGCCTACACCCGGACACCAGGGCTCTTCCGCTCTTCTTCCGGAGGCAAGATCTCCAGGGTTTTGCCTACAGACTCTACATTCACTGAATGAAGAGTCTGTATATAGAGACTAGGTATTTACTGACATATTTGATATTGTAGAACAAAACGTAAAAGTCTCTTCAGCTTGCTGCATTGGGAAATGTGCATTAAAAGAAATACAAATCCTGTGTGTTTCCATTAAATATACGGACTTTGGTGAAAACTACGAACTCGCGTGAGTTTTCCACAGAACCGGAAACAAAACAAGTCTCGCATTCTTCTTCTTCTACGTTTTCTGGCGGTTGGCAACCAGCTTGTAAATGCATTACCGCCTTCCCGACCCAGAGTGTGGATATCACCATGGAGAGAGGTGCGCTACGTCAGACTTAAGTCGAACATAACTGTTTCCATCCCCTTGTTTGCCAATCAACATTTTTTCGAATCAACCAAAACCCAACTAAAGTGAGCGTATTTTAGTTTGTGTGAATCAGCGGATTTTACTTAGAATTTTGCCGTTTCCATCATAATTTTCCGATGCGATACTTTTAGATGCGCATCTAAACAGGCTGATGGAAACATGGCTACTGACTTCAAGATGAGGGAACCGGGAGCTCTAACGTGCTAATTAACTTCCAGGTTTCAGACTCATTGCTGCGGCACTCTGACGTCATACTTTGTACATTTGTATCCTGGACAACATTTTAACTTAAAACATTTTTTCTGAAATCAGTCAGATGCTGAGAAAGTTCGTTACAGGAAGAATGTGGAAACTTTGAACTCAGCATGTGTTTGGAAATCTTCAATATGTGAGATGCAAAGAGAAAATTTATAAAGAAGGCAAACCGGGTGTCAAATAGTCCAGAACGTGGATCACAGCTCTGATGGTGATTCAAACTCATAACTGACAGTTTGGTTTTATGATATCACGGCTGACTGACAGCAGATTTTCTCCACCCTTAAACTCACTCAGAGAACCGCCCAGCATCTGGTGAGTTTGTATTTTTAATATTAATCCTGTGATGAGTGTTTCGCACCCCTGGGTAACTGACATGTCGGAGTGTAGTGTGATCGTCATATTATTTAAGACCAACACCATCAGTGACCGCGTGGCTCTCCGGCTCGGTCACGTAGTGTTTACTATGCAAACATTCAGGGGAAAAGTTTCTGCCACACAATGAGCAGGACGACCACTGAGAACACTGACGTCATGTGGTTGGTATTTTATAATATGTGTAAAGATAAATCTATATATCTTCATTTATTTAATACTCAACTTATTCAAAAGTTTTTAAGCCAACAGAAGCCAAAGACAGGATTTTTAAATGAATTTATAAGACATTTTTATTCCTGGATGTGTGGTGAAGGCTTTTAACGAAAATATAATTGACAGACAACTTAATAAATAAAATATGCAATTTTTAAAAATGTTCTTGAGGGGTTATCCAGGGGGACTGTTTTGTATTTTTTTATTACCATTTTAATTATTTTATTTGACTTTATTTGTTGTTATTTATTTTATTTATTTATTATTTTTGTTTTTTTTGTATTTATTATAATTTCACTATTTTTTACTGTCATTTATTCACGTAACATTTTTTAATATATTTTTATATATATATTCATAATTTATTTATTTATTTGTTTTTTATTAAACCTGACAAACACCGTAGATATTTATATGACGTGTGAGTTCAGGATCAGGGCAGGTAACATGGCTCACAAGTGTTCTTCCCAAAATGACGAGCTTTTCCTTTAACTTATCTTGCGGAGGACGTTTTGTATTTGCAGCTCTGACGTAGAAGAACGACGATGACGAGGATGACGAGGGAAACCCCTCTCAGCATGTTCAGTATCTGTGTGTGTGTTTGAGTGCATGGATCCGTGTGTTCCCATGTGTTTCGGGACGTTGCATGCAGATCTGACTGAATGCGTGTGAGACTTGGCGAGCGCCCGGTCTCAGAGTCCTGACTCTGTATATATTTGTTTTTTTACCGGATCTTTGCGTCAGAGCTGACGGCCTTCTTCTGAGCTGTACAGACACATCTGGACCGCCATCATGAAAACGTTGATGTCAATTTCTGATGAAAGAAAAACAGTGTACATTTCTCTCTGTCGTCTTGCTTGCAGATTTGTTTGACGCACATGTTGCCTAATGTTGTTGTTCTGTTCTTGATGTGAGCAGGGTTAAAACACTGTGTCGGCCTGATCTTACTTTCTTATGTCAGAACTGATTTCAGGGAGATTCAAGGATGTTTCTGGAAGATTTACATCACCGACACTGTACTGTATTTAATACGTAACTATTATATCCAGGCTACGATTACTGCAGAAACAACCCTCCGAAAATATTACGTCCTGAATTTTTCCGCGTAAAATGAAGCAGGATGTAGCCTACCTGTCGGCAGCTTCTTAGGTGAAGATCTTAGAGTAACAGTTTTTATTTTGAAGGTGAAGAACTGACACACCAGGAAAAGAAAAAGGTCAGTATCAGGTAATAACATGAAACGTTTCTTGTTACAATGAGATATTTTCACATTATAACGAGATATTTTGATGTTATGACGAGATTTTCTTGTTATAAAGAGATATCATGTTATAATTAGATATTTTCACATTATAATGAGATACTTTCACGTTATGACGTTTTTATGTCATAACAAGATATTTTCCTGCCCTAACAAGATATATTTATTTCTTTAATGATAATTTTGTTATGTGACATTTTCATGTTTAAAAAATATACTACTCTACAACACAATAAATAGTATAGAAGTATTTTTAATTTTTTTGTAACAGAAGGTTTTTGTTATAGTGTGAAGATGTCTTGTAAAAACATAAAAAAAAAACAACGTTAGAAACGTTTCACGTTATTTCCTGATTCTGATCAGTTTTTTTCTTTGTGGTGTTGCAGCTCTACACTTTTGTAATTTTGTGAGTTAGCCAAACTGTAAAATGAACGTTTGGCTGATTGAAAGACTTAGGACACTCTGAACTGTTTTAACATTTTAAAGTTAGCAAGGACCGCTAACTTTTGCTAACAGAATGATGTTAGCGAACCAGTGACCTTGCGTTAGCTGCCTATGCACGTCATTTCCCTCCCTGTATGTTGTAGCTAGGTAAAAGTTCTGATCCTGTTGACAGATGACGCAGCAGATAGTAATGAATTCTTTAAAGCACATTACATCGATATTTTTATCTCTTTAATCAGGATCTTTGTATCTTGAGCTGAGTGGCATCGTGTCCTGTCAGTCTGTGAATTTGTAACGTTAGCTAACGTAGCATTAGCTCAGCAGACTGAGAGCTTCAGACGTGGCTGAGCAGCAGGTTTATCATTATGACCACAAGTAGACGGCAGTCATCACAAAATAATATTCCACTTCTAAATGCAATGATTAAAATAATAAAAAAGATATTTCAGTATCACAGTAATGTAGCTGCCTTCGCTAAAAGTGAGCTAATCTTACTGATTCTGACACCTGGTGGAATAGTTCGGGAAATACTTTTCTTGTTCAGATTGATTTCAAGGAGTTTGTTTAAGTGTGCAATTCTCTGATTTACGTGATCTTACATTTTGATTATCACGTTAAAACATAGAAAAGTGGAGCAGCTGGAGACGCTCGTCTCATTTTGCTTCTTTGCATCAAAAATTAATTTAATTTTGTGTATGTGTCCAAATAATGCTATTAAACCCTGAATAATACCAACATGTCCCATATGCCTTAACTGGAAAATGATACGGCCAAATTTGGAAAATCCAAACAGAATAATATGCTGTTTTAAATTCTGAATATTTTCATATTCAGAATAATAGCGGAATAATAGCGTGCATATAAACATACCCAGTGTTGATGTCTGTTAATGCTGCATTAAAATGGAACACATTAGCTCGATGTCGTGAATACCATGACAGCAGTGGCATGCAGCGCAAGTTAAGAGCTGGAGTCGTGCTTAGCTTAGCTTAGCTTAGCTTAGCATAGCTCCAGAGAGTATCTTTGCCTGAAACAACAAACTTATTTCTACACATAAGAACATAGCTTCCAGACTTTATGCTATGCTATGCTACACTAGCATAAAAATCCACTTTCAGAGAGAATGTGAAGACGAGTATTTTCCCAACTATTCAGAATCATTAAGCTAATATTTCTCTTCCTGTAGCTAACGAGACGACACCAAAGTCTGTTTGTATTTTGGTGAATATTTTAGTCCTCTGCTGTAGCTGGTGTTTCCTACAGAGCTCCTGAAGTTCTGAGATATATTTTTAATCTTGTGCGCACAAAGATAACGATTTGTGTGCACGAGTTATTGTCAAACCCGAACAAGATAAAATAATAATAATGAGTTATTTCAGGACTTCAGGAGGTTTTATTTGAGACTGTTTGTGATTTGTAGATCTAAAGCCATGGAGACAAACGGGAAATAAACAGGAAATAGTTTTTGGGTATGAACATGGTGAAGTTTAAAGATGTTGTATCTTCTCTCTCAGAAACATCAGTATCTACCTGTACTGGTCAAACTCCAGTCTGACCAATCTGAGCACTGGTGAACCGAGAACTGAATCCATTTTGATACAAAGGCGACTTTTCTTAAACAACATACTGTGACTTCATTCTGTCAATTTCATGGTGGATCATTTGGATTTGTTGATGTGGATTTACTTCCTGGACGTTTCTACCTGCAGCTGGATTTAAAGTTTGTTGGGAGGAAAGAGCACATCGACATTCGAGGGCAGCTGAAATAAATTC